CATAGTGACATTTAATATCATAAATGATGTATAAATTAGGATTAATTTTATTAATATTCTCGTTTACTACGTTACAGAATCTGTACAAGAATCCCTAGAACGTAGGTTTGGTTGTGTTGGTGGTCGTATACCTATTACTCCTTCGGAAGCTTTCCAAAAACGTATTTCCGGTGCATCCGAGAAAGATATTGTACATTCAGGGTTAGATTACACAATGGAACGATCTGCCAGGGTGTGTATTATTATTTCATGAAGATTCTTAACAATGACAATGATATAATTTGTTTGTACTTATAATTGTACATTTTTTGTATTTATTTTATTTGTTTGTACTTATAATTGTACATATTATTTCTATAGGCCATTATGAAGACTGCCATGAAGTTCAACCTCGGACTTGATCTGAGGACGGCAGCTTACGTAAACTCAATCGAAAAGATATTTACAACGTACTCTGAGGCTGGTCTCGCTTTTTAAGTACTAGTCAGAAAAAATTTATTAATAGGGCGAATACGATAATGGAGTGCTAACAAAATGTCATAAGCCAGTATTTCAAAAACTATTCACAGTTTTGCCACTGGTAATGTTGACCATAAGACAAAACGTTCCATGTACATTGTTTTATGCATCATTCTTCAAATGCGCCGCAATAATTTGCCTAGTGCATATATATATATATATATATATATATATATATATATATATATATATATATATATAAATTATACTTAAGAGGACTACGTGATAATTATAGATACAATTTCGCGAAATCGCGACCAATATAAAATAATGTTCACTCATTTATCTAATCGAGGAAATATTTAAAACCAGTGCATTTTTATATTTCAATTTTTATTCATCGGTTCTAATGTTTAGGACACCGATAAATTTATATCAAAGTGATATACGATTGAATATTTTCGCGCTTTAAATTTTGCCATATACTAAACTACTGCCGTATAGTATATCCATTGAGGATAAAAATGAAATTTTTAAAACGTATTTATAACAAAGAAAAGACGTTTTTAATAAATCAAGAAATATAATACATTATACACTAATATTGTCATAAATTTTAGGCTGATGTTAATAAACACACAATCATAAGTGAATATAAATTAGATAATTATAATGTAAAACATTGGTTATTGACCCTGTTATTAATCCTTGAACCTTTTACATATGCTTTACGTGTAAAAAAGTCAAGCTCGATGGAACACGTGTTTTTATTCTCACATGTAACATTTAGGAGCTGTTCACATATCTATAGCAGTCATAGTTATAGCAGATAAACGATATTTAAAATATACTTCATTTAAAAACTTCAAACTAATGTCGACCTTCAAATAATATTTAGAAAAGCACATATATATATACATATATATATATACATACATATATACACATATATATATATATATGTATATCAATACTTGTGTTTAATAAATAATTCTATATAATTAATTGTTATGAAATCGATCCCTCTTATTTGTTTCTTTATCTAATAGTTTATGTATTATTTTAAAATATTCTATGTAAAGAATGAATACATTCGTCTTAAATTATCCTTTAAAAAAGAATCTATCCGTTTGCTGATGAAACTAATGATCGCTTAGATAGTGACCTCTTATAACGAACAAAGCGTACTTTATTACTAAAGGAATGTTTTAATGCTTAAATGACAAGAGGTCAGCACCGTTTGAAAGTGGAAGAGTACCGGTACGTGCGGACGAACTGCGCGTGGCCGAGCGCGTAGCGTTAACCAATGTCTATTAGTTAGGGTGGCGGTTGTCTGATATAAGGACGTCTGAAGCCACGACGACGTTAACGTGGTTTACCGTGCCTATTTTTTCATTTGTGTAAGAAGAAACGAAACAAGGTGATAAAAAATTTATATTATTTATGTGGAATTCCTTTTGTTTTCCATTTCTTTAACTATAATATTATCAGTGATCTCATACATTTCTTATATATTTTTTCTCCAATTATATTTTTTCGATGTTTTGTCTTACGAAATCGTATAAAATGATGTAAGCTTATCCTTTAAAAATTTAGGAATTTATCAAAAGAGAACTGTGATCATCATAATATTGAAACATTGTGATATATATATATATTTTTTTTTTCAACTACAATAACAATGTTCGTTTTAGTGGAATTACTCGATGGAAAATATTCATCCTGATGGAAAGAGCATTATCGTGTCAACGTGTTTTCCGTGTGATATTATCTCGATTAGATATTATCAGGATACTATATATGTATATATATGTATATATATGTATATATATATATATATATATATGTTTTGACCCTCGATTTATATTGTCGGGACGAAATAAGGAATAGAATAAAATTATACTTTGGAAGGATGAGCTGTACTTGTTTTTTTCTTTTTTTTTCGAGAAAAACTGGATATACGAGTGTTCTAAATAAATACAAAATTTTAATGGAGTTTTTTGATTAATCATTCTGATTAATCTATATAGATTCCATCGAAATAAATTATATTCATTATTAAGTTGACGGATTGTTATCGTGCCGTAATATCGTAGAATGTTATAGATATAAATTTAATATTTAATTAGCAATTTCATTTTTTTAACATACGATTACTAAATTACACGAAATAAAACAAAAGAAGTCTCATAAAATATTTTACAGCTCTTCGGGATAATAAGAATTATTTACTCGAGTGTATTAGTTCGAAAAGGAGACGTATTGTTTTTTTATGAATTCCGCAATCAGAAAAATAAAATTTTTTCTTTTATCTCATGTAGTTAAAAAAATTACGTACTAACAATAACATATAAAATCATCCTTTTTACTTTTGTATCTGTTTTTTTCTTTTCTTTTTTTTTCACCTTTAGACATCACCAACGTTAATATATTACACAATCAACATCGTAAAAAGTTTCTACATGCTAATAAAAATTCTATAAAAATTGTGACGCTTTTTTATATGTAATAAAAATTCCCTTTCTTTCGAGGAAACATCTCTATTAATTTAAATTTAACTATTTTAGGTGGCGAGGTTTGAATCTCGCGTTAATCCCATAGAATCTCTTCCTATGGCGACTATGAGTAATGCTAATGGATCCACAATTCAGATCAACACGCGTCCGGATGACATACGAAATCGTATTATCGGAGGTAAAATATTCTTTTCATTGAAAAAATAAATGGGTATGATTTAAAAGTAAGTTAGTCATTTTTCAATAAATAAACATTATTGAAAATTTATCGTGAAAATTAATAAAAAAATCGTGAGATAAACAATATTCTATAGGATTTTGTTAAAGCAGTATTAAGTGATATAAATATAAGAATTATACGATTAATATATTGCATGCCACGTCATTCATATATGTATGCTATTAATGTTTCTTGCGAGGACGTTTCATTTGTACATTCATATGTATGACGAATATATTGAGTTAAAAATATATATAACGCATTTCGCGCATTAATAATACTATGAGCATATAAATTGAAATTTTTTTAAAGTTGATGAAAATATAATTATGTTTGGTTTTAGTTAAATTAATATTTTAACTTGGTAAACATTAAAACCAATAATTTTGTAAAAAGTTATTTAATTTAAGTTTAATTGACTTATAAGAAAGTATTTTTACGTTTAATTTAATACTTCATCATTATATTTAACTTATTTATATTTTAAATTTAAACATTTCAGATATATTTTGGGGAAAATCAATGCATTGGTTGCAAAAAGTATAAACCATTTTAGATTTGTTCCGTTCTACTTTACGTTCTGTTTAAGTTTAGTATATCATCGAACATATTTTATACGTAATTTTTTACCAGTTGCATCGGTTCCTTGTAAAAATTTTGAAAATACTTTTTCGAGATCTTGCCAAATCATGTTGAATATTTAGCTGTTCCACCACAATATTTTCTCTAACAGCTTGAATATTAATTGTTTTCTTTGTAGCATATTAGTATATCACCCATTTGTCATTCTTAATTCAAGAATAAGTTTAACAGAGAGTTTCTTATATCATTTTACATTTTTTCTGAGAATTGTTGCATAGAAAGTCATTTGCTCTGATGAGTCTATATCAATCTTTATTATATACTAAAATTTCTGATCACTTCTTCAACATTTCTTTTTATATCTACATATTTCTGTGAACTGGTGACGTGACCTTTTCATCAATATCTCAGATATAGCTTGTCTTCTTTCTATGGCATAATCTTTTTTACGTTTTAGAATCAATTTCTATACTATATCATAATTTTACCTTTTAACTAAGCAGTATTATTAAACTGATACGAGCTTTACAATTAATAAATAAATCATAATGCGAATTTGGTATGAATGAATTATTGCTTAAGTGTAAGGAAGGTCATAATTTTTATTTTATCGTAGAAATCTTTAAGCAAAGCTACGTAGTTGTATAACTATTCGGAAAAAGTCACGGAGGCTTTTACGATATACTTTAGGAGCTATCGAAAATATATCGTAAAGGATTGAATTGGGTTGACATGAGAGTTAGAAACTTTGCCCTCGAAGGTTCTGAGATAAGGGCTGAAATATTTAACTCATATAACTCATTAACTCATATAAGACGAAGCCATGACGTATAAATTTGGGATTATGAAAAAAATTGTGTTCCCGTAGCGGACTGTTTTTTTTTTCTTTTTATTCATTTGAATTTTATAATTTGCAAGTTTAAAATTGAGCTGATTTTTTTTTTATTCTAATCGGAATAAAAAAATTACAATGTTGTTGAGACACCAATAAAAAAAGTGTCAGATTGTTTATCTAAAATCTTTATTTAAATATTAAATTATAATTTATTTGATGATAGAGTTGATTAGTTACTATTCTTTAGACGACAGAAATAAAGCATTAGACTTTTACTATAATAATAAGCGGTATTACCAATTCAAATTATTGTCCAAGTTAAACAACTTTGACAATTTCAATTTTTTTACGAAGACTTGACGCAACTCCGATGAAAATGTAAACATCAAAATGATATTTTCGTTGAATAGATTATCGTATAATAATAAACGATATTTCAGGCGGTAAAAGCAATGAAACGTAGAACCTTAAATAGTAAGCAGTAGTATAAGCGGACATTAGTCAGCCAACTATAGGTAAACTTGGTTCTTTAGCATTCACCTTGTATATATACATATCCACGATCCTCATCTTTGCGTTAGAAATATGGTTCAAGACTATATGTGGAAAGCAATCGATGAAGGCATTGTATTAATGTAGAAATCGAAAAATAAAAAATTACAACGAGTGATTGCAGCTCAAAAAGAAATTTGTTTTATCGAAAATCTGTCCGATAGGAAAAATAAAAAGGAACAGAAAATAAAACGTTGACGTGTGATGTTTTCATTGGGGGAAAAAAAGTGTGTGTGGGAGAATGGGGCTGGAAAAGTAGAGTGGACATTCATAGAATGAGAGAAAAGAGTAGGTCAGAGAGATAGGAGAAAAGATAGGATGCTAGTACGCGCATTTCGCGCATTTCGCGCATTTCGCGCATGCCACTATGGAGGAGAGAAAGATAGAGAGGACTTTCCGTATGAGTGGGCGGCTGAACACGGTCAGACTAGGGAGGAAATATCTCTAGGAAAGAGTGTGACATTTCAAATCTTGAATACTTTGCTGCCACGTAGCCTATTACAGATGTGGAAGTTTAATACATGGACAGAAAGAGAGAGGGAGAGATTGAGAGAGAGAGAGAAAGAGAAAGAGAGAGAGAGAGAGAGAATGAAAGAGAGAGGAAGAGGGAGGGAGGGAGGGAGAGAGAGAGGGCCGAGAGAAAGCGAGGGAACAAGGGAGCAATTCACTGACTCAGGTAAGCAGGTCACTGGGCACATCGGTAGTAACTATTTCATTATGACAGACGGTAAGCTTAAAAACGTACATTAAGAATAAAATAATTGAGAGGATTTTAATACGTAAAAGATCTTTGTAAGGCGTACTACAATGATTTTCGATTAAAACTAAATAGTTATATTTACTTAGGTGTGGTTTTCAATAAGATTTTCAGTTATAATTTGTTTATATTATTTTACTTTGAAAATTATTTTTGTTGAATTAATATACCCAATATATTCTAAAAAAAGGTGCCATTGACTTTGTAAACTCGTTTTTTATCATAAATAAAAGATGTAAATTTATTCAGTTCGGTATACGTAGCTTACTCGTAAAAGGACGCGCGTACGAATATATCGATCCGTAATTCTTATTCTTTCTTTTGTCGGTGTTATCGTTAACAAAATCGATCCTGTGTTTAAATGAATTATCGAACAAGAACGAGTTTGCGTATTTATTGGAGTGGTGAATTACGTTTCACGCCAATTCTGACCAAATTTTCTTTATTTTTTTTCTTACCTTTACTTGGAAAATATTAAGAAAGGAATTACGGAGGAACAAGAAAATAATCTAGGGAGATTATGAAAAATTATACGAGTCTTTCTTTATAATTACACGCAAGGGATTTACTCACGAAACCGTTTGCGTAGTTTTTAACTTTAATGCAATTTCTTTTTATATATATCCACATATATGTACCTCTGATATATGATACGCATATCGATGGACGCGAAAATACATGGTGAATATGTAGTCTCATTTACTGTCCGTTATCGATCTTGCACTACGAAGAAAATGGCAAATTTCTTTATATGTATCGTATTTCTATGAATAATTAAAAAAGAAAAACAAAAAAAAATGTAATAATAATTTCGCTAGAAAGAAAGATTATTTGTATTGATATTGTTGTTATTCAAAGATTATGTACAATATATTATAAGGGCAAGAGACTAGAAAGCTCTCCGAACACTTAAGAGGATGTTATTATAGGTTGGGTTATATAAACAGTCGTTAGTTAATAGCTAGGCTGAAAAACACTTTCGAGAAAGTACAAGAGTATGCTCTTTTAGAAAAGGGACTAACGAAAGAACCTATTCATACTATACCAACGAGAGAAGAGCAGTTCTTATATGACTCGTAGAATCGAGCCAATTATACATCATTTCTTATCAGAACTTTTCTTTTGTAGGTTAACGAAATAATCGATTCTTTTTTTTTTGTTGGAAAATATTATCTGATTGTAACAATTTTATTTGTTCTACGTACATATAAATGCCCTAATTAATAGCTCAGTCTCGTTTTATGGATCGAACGTATATTCGATCATAATTGACGAACATGCATATTCGAAACAACTTATATTTAATTTTTCGATAATTATTAAACGATCCTGTATCGGACATATCGATAAAATTTTCGTTTTTATTGTTTTAGCGGAAGATTCCATACAAAGCGATTCAAAAACCTGCGGTAATATTTTAGTGGTATTATCTTGGATTTTGGTGATCATGACTATGCCATTCTCTCTCTTCGTTTGCTTTAAGGTAACAATTTTAAGAAGATCTATTCGGTTTTGCTTTCTCTTTTTTTACTTTTTTCTTTATTTTCTTGTTTCTTTTTTTTTCTTTTTTCTTTTAACGATCACTCTATAAATTATTATCACCCTCGTTGTATTATTATTAGAACTGACAATTGACCTCAAAGCATCGTCGAGATTCTATAAAAGATGCACAGAATTCCGTTAATAGTTAGTTCATAATTTCTTTGATAGATTTAGATAGCAGTAAAACGTTGATTATATATAATTTAAAAAGGACAATAAAGAAAAAAAATTGTTTCCGATGAACAATCTTTTAATAAATAAAATAATCGATTGTTGAAAACTGAACATGGAAACACGAAGACAGCTGAATGTCATATGAGTGTATTGCATCTTTTTGATTATAATGTTTTATGTTACAATAGAAGATAGTAATCATTTTTCTTTCCTTCTTTCTCGGAATATTATAAATATACTTACGTAAAATGTAGGACACAACAAATTTTAATAGTTTTGTTTTACGAATATTACAAATAAGAGCTAAAATATTTTTTTGTTATGTTAACAGGTAGTACAAGAATACGAAAGGGCGGTTATATTTCGATTAGGCCGTCTTCTATCTGGCGGTGCTAAAGGTCCTGGTAAGTTTCTCTTATAACATATATATATATATATATATATATATATATATATATATATACACAGACATGTATGTATATGCAAAAAATAGAAATATATACCAGATATTAAAATTCAGAAAAAAGATTAGATATAAGATATATTATAATTAATAAAATGTCATCTCTTACCGATAAAAATCATATCTTTTAAAGGAATTTTCTTCATTCTACCATGCGTGGACAATTATGCTCGAGTCGATCTTCGTACGAGAACATATGATGTTCCACCGCAAGAGGTAATTCATTCGAATCTATATTTCTCGAATGGATTTAAATGGGTATAACAGATAATGAAAGAAAGACCAATCGATTATTTTACAGGTATTAACAAAGGATAGCGTTACCGTGTCCGTGGATGCAGTCGTTTATTATCGTGTTAATAATGCCACTATTTCTATTGCTAACGTTGAAAATGCACATCATAGTACGAGACTTCTTGCTCAAACGACGCTTCGAAATACTATGGGCACAAGGCCACTACATGAGATACTTAGCGAGCGTGAAACTATTTCTGGTAACATGCAGGTACGACTTAATATTCGATAATAATTCTTTAAAATTATTGGTTGAATCGGATCCAAGATTAGTCGAGTAAGAAATAGTTGATTATACTTAAGGCTTTTTGATTGACTTGGCAAAGATACTTTCATGAAATCGGAAAAGTATTTAGACAAAAAATTTGGGTTCAGAGTTAATTGTCAAATACAAACAAATATTAGCTACGAAAAATATGCAAATTATTATTCACTAGGTAATGAAAATTTCTTAGCATAATTGTCAGTAATAATGATAAATAAATTCTATACAGCAACTTGAAAGACTCCAATCAATGATTTTCTTTGAATTAACCAGTTATATCCACATTTAAACCTGACATTGAAAAAGATGCTGTTGTACTTTGATGGGAGTGTACTGAGAAAATTTAATTTGAATTGCTAGAGCCGAATGACATAATTACTGCTGATATTTATCGTCAACAATTTATATAAAGAGTTATATAAATTGTTATATAAAGAATCGCTGAAAAAATAACCGCTTTTAATCGTAAAAAGCAATTTAGCTGGATAGTTTTATCGTATCTCTCATATTCACTCGATTATATCATCGGATTATCATTTGTTTAAAAAAATTATTTACTTATGAAAAGTAGTACCTTTAATATATATTACTGTATATACATACGTAAATACATAAATATGTAAGACTATTTGTAAAAGGAAATTTTTTTAATATGTATTACAGATTTCCTTGGATGAAGCTACCGATACATGGGGCATAAAAGTCGAACGAGTCGAAATGTAAGAATCGAATGAAAATCATTAAATTCATCCTGTCATCTTTTTAATATTACAATTCTACATAAATAAATAAAATTTGTAGTAAAGACGTACGGCTACCTGTTCAATTGCAACGAGCTATGGCAGCAGAAGCAGAGGCAGCTCGTGAAGCTCGTGCAAAGGTAATAATTATATCTATTACAATTGGTACATTTAGATGAAAATGATCTAAATGGATATTTTGTTTTTAGGTAATCGCCGCCGAAGGTGAGCAAAAGGCAAGTAGGGCGTTAAGAGAAGCATCGGAGGTAATCGGAGATTCTCCGGCAGCATTGCAACTACGTTATCTTCAGGTAAGACAATTACATCATTTCGTTACTATTTTTGTAAGAGTATATACTTACTAATTAATTTTTTATCGCAGACCCTTAACACCATCTCGGCTGAAAAGAATTCGACGATCGTATTTCCATTGCCCATTGACATGCTTACGTACTTTATGAAAGCAAGAGAAATGTCTTAATTTTATGTATTATTCAAATGATATACATATATTCAATATGTACCAAAAAGTTGGTAAAGATTGGAAATTGTGAGAAGATCGATCAAGTATGTGGTGATCGTATCTCTTATGTGTGTACGTATTCGTTACGTTAACAAGACTTGAATCTGACCAAGAAGAGGAGAGTTGCTAATGGTAGACCAAATTTCAACGTTTATTATTAAATTAGACAGGCCATAAGATTAATGTTCTTGCTGAAACAAAGAACATTTCGCGGTATATATATATATAGAATTATCTATACCGAAACATTTAAAAAACATTCATCGATATTTTTGGATGATCTTATAATAACATCACTGCTCTATTTACAAACTAATATAAAGTATTTACGCAATACTTTGATAATACTTTAAATCAAAAATCGCATCATAAGCAAATAGAACATCGAAGAACATGAATTAGGGTGAGTATATAATATATTACATAGGTATATTCGACGTAGAATAAAGAAGGAAACAAAATTTAATATCTAGTTTTTAATACTGTAAGTTTACGTTTTCACGTAAATCATGATTAATTTGATAAAAAATATAAAAAAAGAATTTCACACTGCCAATCACAGTAATACGTACACGACCGTTCCATAATTCCATATTTCGATAAGAGAAAATTATTAATTTTGCAAAATATACAATTTTGCGAGATAATGGAATGACGAATCTTCGTAAAATTTACAAACTACAAACAAGAATACTGATTTATCTGATACGAACCTTAAGAATTTTAAGATTAGACAAGTATTTATATATTATATAATAGAACTTCTAATATACGAACTAATACAGATATCCAGATGTTCAGATGAAAGAATTGTCATGAAAAGACAAAGAAAAAAAAAAAGATAATTTATACTAAAATATAAGAAATTATCCATTTCTGTTTGGATTTTTATAATCGTCTAAATTACCTAAATCATTTATTACGTTTAACCTTATAAATATGTAATTTCTTCTTACCAATAAATCGAATTTTGATCGTGATAGAATAAAAGGAACACTACGTGGAATATATCTGCTTTGATAGTTCAAATAATGAAGGTTTTACCGTAAATCGCCTATTAATTTTTATGGCACTAAAATAATAGAACTGAAAAATTTATCTCAATGTCGAATCGTTTTTACAATGAAAGAGAAGATTGAACAGCAAAGCATAGAAGCGTCGTTTAAATATTTAATCCAAATATAACGGCCTGTAACGATAAATGGTTTAGCATCGGCAACTCTCTCTCTTTCTCTCTCTCTCTCTCTCTCTCTCTCTTTTTCTCTCTCTCTTTCTCTTTCTCTTTTTCTCTTCCTTTCCGGCAATTGCCTTACGTATGGTGCTTATTAAAGGTCTTTCTCTTGGTTAGAAGTTTAAATAATAATTAATAAGTTTGAATGTTTGTACTTGAACGATTTTTACTCAAATTTTTACTAAGACTCTTACGATCGGCTAAACAAAAATTTTAAAATATTTTATATTACGATCAGATGTGTCAAACTTTTGATATTCAACAAATCGTACCATCATGATTTGTCATTTAAAATTTAAAAACAATTGACACTGATATGATGTTACAAGAAATATAAGTACATTTCTATTTTAATAATAACTCATTCAGTAAAGACTGTCGATCGTATTAATTTTCATCTCACTTTCTTATTTTTATTCAATTCACGATTGTGATATGAAAGATATGTTAATTAGCAATTTAAATTACTCCTCACAGTCAATTAAAATGGTACATGCCTAAATTTTGTAATTTCCATAACAGTTATTTTGAATCTCTTTTGTGAAAAAGAGATTCTTCAATCAAGAAAATTACGAAGTATCCAACCTATTGATCTTCACATTCTTGCATTATTTATTTTCAATTTATTTATTTCCGATGACTGTCTTTATTTTATAGGAAATGTTACGATTTATAAAGAATATTATAATGAAATTAATGTCATGATCGCACTTGCTCGCACATACTTCTAATAGTTTTAATTTACTTTCTTAAGATTTGCGATTTGTTTTTTTTATGTTATTGAAATTTTCGATCTTTTAGTATTAAAAAATAAATCTACCTAATATATATACTATACATATATACAATATACATACACGAGGGTATTTATGCATTTTTTTATTGACGAATTTTAACTTTGACGAAAAGAAAAACTTTGAAATTATCTAAATTAATTAATTTTCATAATAATTATTAAATTTTGATGGAACAGAAGACGAGACGAGATTACTGCAAGATCATTAATACATAAACAATCTAAAATGACGCTTTAATTGACTGCTAGGAAAATTTATTTATTTTTAAATACACTAAGTACATTAATAAGGAGAGAACGACACGAATTGTATTATCTGATATTAAGCTAAAACTAATTCTCTATTTCTTGTTAACATTGTTTATGAAATATTAATGTTTAATCTATGGTATTTTATGTATATATATATATATATATATATATATATATATGTATTTATGATATATATATCGACGTGTTATTGTGTGAAAATATATCTAAAGAGTGCACTACTGTCGTATGTTACACATGTATTTATGATTGAATCGCATGATTGGCTCGTTAAATGTCTGATTGATTTTTTCTTTAGGTGATAGGTATTATTGAAAAATCAAAAGTGTACGCGTAATCAAATAAAAATTAATGTTTGAAAATGTACAAGCGTAATTCGAACAAGTGTTTATTATGTATACTTGCAGAAGAAGATACAATACTCGCGAGATCCTATTTTTTAATTGGATTAACATCGTCCTAATATTAAATAAGAAAACATGTAAAACAGTTGGAAAGATCTTTAAATAAAATATGGGCTCGTAAGATTTGAATAACGATTTCTTCATCTGCCATTCGAATGTTTACGCAATGTCTCACCTCAACTTTGTTGTGCACGGTTGTTGAATATAATTTAAACAAAAACCTCTATTTCCAACATCGTTAGGTGCTTCGATCGCATCCGTATGAAAGATTAATCTGAAAGGCTTGACAGTACCTGAAATAAAATGCATAAATATTTTTATTTGGTTATTGTACATGCATAAAATAGAAACAAAAATTTTTTTTTCGTTAAAAAGAAAATGCCATGCAAACGATGAATACTTACTAATGACCGAAGATGAGTTTAGGTTTTGATTATCGGCATTAAAGGTACCGCCACATAATCGATCTATACAGGTAGTAGACATCGAAGGAGATTTGCCTGCGTTAATTGCGCAAGGAATCATCAGCCAATCTGTTTGACACATGGCTCCTGTCATGGAGGCTATCTGTGTTCCTTGAGTATTACCCGTTAAAGTGAATGCATTATTACGAGACATTTGCCCTGTGCCACTATTAGATACCATCGTAGCTGTAATATTTATATTTTATCGAAGATATATATATATATGTGTGTATATAAGGGTAGGCAAAACTAATATTTTAATAACTCTTAAATTATGCTTTCTATGAAAAATTGTTTCATGCCAATATTACATAATTTCCTATTAAGATTATTTATGACAAACACTGTCTATTATGTCTTACTGAAATCTTTGATGACATACAAACTTTAATTTAAAGTTAAGCAAAACAAGTTTTTAAAGAACTAAATAGAATATTTAGTTAAGTATTAAATAAGCCCAATAAAATTTAATATATTTTACATATATAGAATTTTCACGTTAACTCAAATTTCGAATTAAAAAATAAGATATTCCATGTAAAGAAACAGGATTGATATACAAATTTGTATAAAATAATTTTTCATGGAATGTATAATTTAAATGAAGTTATGCAATATGTATGTAATTTTGTTTAAGGAACGAACTAAAAACGAAGAAATTTAAAAGGTCAAGAGGTTCTATTCTTTATTGTTCATTTTCATCATATGAACTTTCTAACATAAAGTTTTTATTTTATAACGTATAAAATATAATCACCTGATTTTTAATCTTTCAAAAATAATCATTTCATATATAAACAAATGCATCATCCAAATGATTATTTCCTTTGTGGCTTTTAAAGAGCAAAAATTTATCAAACATTTACGAAATATTATATTTCGTTAGTAATAAATTCATATTACAACGTTTGATGGCAAAAATGACGAAAATAAAAAATTTATTACTTTTTTAAATCTCTTCGTAACTTTTAGGTTACCTTATTGTAGATTTTTTTTTTCTTTTTGTCGTACCTTCGTCCGAACATGCCATATATTGAATACCACAAAAGTTTTTTTCCATTCTGATGCATATACTGTAATCCTGATTGGACAATTGCAAGCCGGCCGAGGAATCAAAATTGAATGATTTTATTTGTCCTGATACACCGGTAAAATATTGCAAACATCCTTCTTCTGCTCTATAAATTGTATTACAGCGAATCTGTGAGATTCGAACTTTCCAGGATCGTGGAAAGGAACTTCCGCTCGTGACGAATGTCAATGCAATGGGATTAGTTTGCCCTATACCAGCGTCGATGTACACTGTGAAAAGACGAAGAAAACGTGTGCTCGATCAACGAAGAATTTCCATTTATTCGATACTTGTATTAAAATAAAAATCTAACTTACTGTGGTTGTCATTATTAGTTCCACAAATAGTTGGTACTGGATTACCTCCAGAAACAATAAATTGATCATAAGTGCATAGATTGTTGATCGTCTCGGGCCCTCTTATCGTAAACTGTACAAAATCCAATCTACAAACAGTTAAAAATCATATTGAATTATATATAAATAAAAATATATTCTCGCTTAAGTTATTTAAAATTAAATAAATTTTTAAAGGCCGAACATGAAATTCAAATATAAAGAAACTGATATATCATATGTCAATAATTTAAAAAAAGAATCGTATTTCTTTGTTCAGTCTAAGAAAAGGTATTTAATTTTAGATAGAGCGCGAATACTTTTTTTACCCACTGTACGTATATCAGATACATATATAAATCTGAAAATGATCAAAGAGTACTTCTTTTTCACCTAAATTGGCATACATCCGGATGTAACTTCAAAAGCGTAAGCTGACAGGAATCCGTACCATCAAACGTCGATGGATAATTAGGATTAACGAAATAAGTATTATTATCGTTGATCATTTGTCCGCACGAGACCATGACTAAACGGTAAAGATAATATCAATTTTTGGAAAATAAATAATTTAAAAATGTCATTTTATTATAATATATATTTCTTACCGATACAACAGACGCCATAACCATTCGCGCAAACTCCACTGGATATACCACCTCGTTGCGAACATTCCGTTGATGATATGCAAGTACCATTTTCACCATTCAATCCACCACAGGCATTATTTTCAAATCTTACGACGGTGAACAGTGGAAAAACTGAAGATAAGTTATCAAAATGTTTTATCATTACTTTCTTTTATTTTTTCGTTCGTCAATGATCAAATGGTCGCACGATAAACGCGAACTTACGTCGTTTTTCTCTTTTATTTTGTGTCAATCTAATATTTTGAAGAGCTGACATTTGAAGCATGTGCTTTTCGGGATCGTTAGATTCTTGGGATCGATTTTCATTCGTTTGCCACAAACGTCTTCGTTCTGGTAATTTTTGCATTTTCCATATGCTCCAAGCATCGATTTCAATGCTTATTATAATAAAATTAATTATAAGTATAATTAAGTATCGTTTGTCGAACATCTCTACGATTAAAATATATATCGAATTTATATTTTTTATTTAGATAATGCTTCCTTTAAATTGTGAACATTTAAAACGTTACTCCGACGTTACAGATATTACACTAAAGACTTGAGTTACAAAAACGCGAAATTAAATATATTTGAGGAGATGATTTACACGGTCTGCATACCGAGTTACAAACCGATTCTCGCGATTACAAGGGAAAGTCAAGTAATTTAATTGAAAATAAAAGTGTGAGTAACTTTATGTATTGTGCTTATTCCTTGAAGCATGATAATCGTCGCTTTCTTAACTCATAAGTTATAATCGTTGAAATTAAATAGAACATCGTACTTTCCATTCAGAGTATTCTATACAAAGACAATCACTTTTTCGAATACTTTCATTACTCCATTTTCATTTTTCATGCATATGTCATAGACATTCTAACATTTATCAAAGAAAATTCAATAGTTCCCAATTGCAAAAAAAGTAAATTGTTTGTATTCCGCCATAATTAGAGTTATTTTTGAAAATGTATATCTCCTTAATTATACGCGATAAAGATTTCGTTCTTACGAGAGACATTAATTAAAAAGAATTAGATATTTATAAAAGAAAATACATAAAAAGTTTTATATTTGCGATTAAATTACTACAATAGACAAATGTTCCAAACAATACTTTTAAAACAAATCGAAATAGTTCATTTTTAATCTCAATTATTCGAAGCAAAAGTAATTAAAGACGAAATATAAAACTGAAAGAACCTTATTTTACAAAAAATACAATAAACAAACGAACAAAAAGCGAACAAAAAAGAAAAAAACAAAGAAAAAAACAAAAAAAATATGACATTATTCTAGAAAAGGTTGCTCGATTAGGATTTTGTTCGGAAAATGGGGCTTTATGCATAGAAGTGGCAGGGGTAGAACAGCATGAGCGGCAGGTATGAAGAGAGAGGGAAAGCAGGGCTGGCAGGAGCGTAGGTGAGCTAAAATAGATCGATGGACGGGTGCGCACGCAAGTGTACCTCCGGTTGAGTTAGCGTAGCCTGCAGGGGAGGTAGACTCTTACGGTTGAGGAAACGTGGGTTGGGAGGAAGATAATAAAGGAAAGGAGAAAATTGGCAGCTCGAAAAGATTCTTGAAAGGAGAAAATTCGGAAGAAAAGAAGAGAAAATGGAAGAAATGGCTAGTAGAAAAAAGGGTCGAATCTCCAAAGAGTAAAGGCGCACCTCTTTCTAGTTCTCTCTCTCTCTCTCTCTCTCTCTTTCTTTCTCTCCTTCTCTCTCTTTCTCTCTCGTTCTCTCTATTTCTCTTTCTCTCTCTTTCTCACCTGTTTGCCGGCAATAGGGTTGGCTAGGTGCGGATGGTGGCGGTGGCGGTGGCGGTGGTGGCGGCGGCGGCGGCGCTACAAGTGGCTGGATTCGTAAATCGGGAGCACACGAGCGCGCTCGCCCGCTCCTTCCTTCCAGTTTCCTTTTCGCTGCTTGCGTAGACGTGCACGTTTTATCGCACGGAAACGCGCGACAGCCCTTCTTAGGATAGCACCTTCGAGTATCTATCGAGATCGTAGCTTCGACACTGGGACACATCCAATTGTATCTACGATAACTTTGAATTCGCATTCTTTTTGGTAAGTAAACAAATAGTGGACATGGAAATTCATATTTAACATTACACGAGGCAAATATTTTTTTAGCTGGTTATCTCTACTGTAGGATGGTTACAATTTATTTGCTTTATCTTTTATTATATTTTTTGTTTTTTTCCGATGGAAATGTCATATCATCAGGATTTCGACAGATGATTTAACAGAGAGCCATAACGGTATTGACTACTTGTGCTTTTGTCGTCTCTTAAAACGTATGAACGCATTTATTATCTTAGATCTCCTTTATTTCAAACGCATAACGTGCTACGACCGTACTAATACGATTTAAATGCTACCTTTTAAGGAGAAACGCTAATTGAAATTTCCTTGGACCAAGCCAACACAACTCTCGTATTACCGAGGGTCGGCTGATTCTCTTACGTTGTCTAAATTTCATTAAGCTACATTGAAACTACTTTCATCAGTTTACTCCATGATTAATTAATTGCTAATTATTTAAATTTCTAAATTTCATTTCAAATAAATTTTTATTTAATGTAACCAGATATAATGGATATTACCATCTCGTTGATTGGCCACTTTAATTCTTTCAAAACAAATATCTTTTTTTTGTAAATTTAAAGTTACTCTCATTGTCGGGAAAAACAAAATTAAATAGAAGGCCATCGATGGAACTCCTAGATCCGGAAAATCGATTCTCGATTTTACGAACGCCAAAGGCTACCTTTGCATTAAAGCTACTGCGGCCCGTATTCCAATATCGATACTCCTTTCCCTACGAAACCGATGCAAATGAAAGGTTTATTGGAACGAAAAAATTCGTCTACGGAAGAATGGAGGCAAAGGAAAAATGGAAGAAATGTTTTGAAAATCTTTCCACGCCGTATATTTTTTTTTTATTTTTACCGTACAGAAGGATCACAATATGGAATCGATTTTTATAAAACGATACAAACAGAACTTCAAACAGTTGACATATATGCTTAAATACTAATCCACGTGAAACGTAAACATGTTATCGATATCGTATCGATAGGTTCGCTCAACAGGTTAAGCGTATTGTGCTTTATGTTCGTCAATCGTTAACGTACTTTATTATTAACAATTATTTTCTATTGTAAAGCTTGCTAACTGGTACGATATGTATGACTTTTAACGATTGACCTTAATGGTCGATAGATACAACTCTAGTGACAGGATTAATAATTACTTACAGATACCATATGCTCTTAAGACATGTTTTGTAACAAAAAGTTTTGCGTAGCTTTGGTATATCGATTATTTTGCATGCGTGTGCTTGAACCTCGCGTGGCTACGTTCTACTTTTTATTTATGATATCGTGATGACCAGCTGTCGATCTTTTGCACGATGAAAAATAAAAGGAAATTAAAAAAGAAAAGGGAAAGCATAAGGGGGAATGAGTAGGATATAAACGAAAAAGTTTTCCACTCGTATAACAATTATCGAATATTCAAGTTATGAAAAGGATTTGTTAAATATCAGTAAACCTTTTTTAAAAGAAAAGCTCGTCAGTTCATCTGCATTTCCTTTTTCACGATTATTGGCAGCTACATTTGAAATAATATGTATATGAATGGAACGAGAGAGAGAGCACGGATCGATAATGAGGAGATACAAAAAATAAAAAATAGAGAGTATAAGGAGTTTAGTATATTAATTTCTTTCTTCTTTAGATTAGATAGCTAATTCTATATGTTAAAAATACGTTTTAATGTTTTTTAACAATCAGATTTGATACTTGTATACACAAAATGGGATGTAGTCTATTCGTATGTAAAATGATTCATAAAAGTGACTGTAACGTGCTTCGGAAAACTAAGTAAATTCTTACTCATGAATTAAATTTTTTGAAATTATGAATGACTTGTATAAAGTTAATAAGTTATATAAATTATATCAAGAATTTTTACATGCGTTTGGTAATTGTTCGTGGGTGCAATGAAAATGTAGAATAAACTTCTTGCGAGATTTTTTATTGAACTTGATCAATTCAAGTTTTGATCGAACTTCAACAATCGAATCACGTTAATTTATATAGTAAATATCATTGGACTTAAAATATCATCGAATATTTAATATTTAATTGACTAATACTACAGTTCTAAAATTTAATGTTTCTTTAATGAATGCATGACCTTTAAAGTTCATGATATTAGTAGAATTTGATAAAAAAAAGTTTTAGAAAGTATACACTTTAACTTGTCATCAGGATTGAATATCATTTTCCAGAAAATTGTCAAATTGTAAAATTTATTCACAATTTCTGAAGGCTTCGTTTTACAAATAATATTCCCAAATAAAACAAATGTCTCGGGTTCAAAGTATAATTATTTTTGCAATTCATTTTATGCATGAATAGAAGACTTACCATGGTAAGAAAACCCTTTGAAAGGTTCACTCGTATGATCTTACGAAAGAAATTTAATTGCAGGGTTCGTGTACCTCCCTAACGTAATATACTCGTTAATTACTAGCGCTTATTGTTTATTTCTAAAGAGACATGCGACCTGGCATGCTTGCTACACCGACCGTGTTTTTTTTTTTCGTTGAACGATATAAGTCAAGTTTATCGATAGAAGAATCTCGGTGAGTTAAGTAGTCTCACCTTTTACTATTGCTCTCTATGACTTACAACCTTTTTCTATTTCTTTCCTATAATTATAATCAGTTTTTCATGTTCGGTAGTCATTAAAACAAGAATTCTCTTTGCGAATCTAATGAAAATATATTATTGCAATCGATGGAAACTAATGTACTTGTCCTAAGATATCGTGTTTAGGAGCATGCGTGCGCATGTGTTACAAGTTTATGAGGAGGCACGTACTTAGGCACTAGCTCGTATTGAGTCACATTGTTCGGAATAAAAAAGAATACGATAACTTATGTTAGTTCTAAGAGCTTTTACAGTAAGTATTATCTATAATTTTATATTCGAACTTGTTCTCTAAGTTTATATAGTTTTTGAATATTTTCCAAGTACATACGTTTATATGTAAATACGTACATATATATATATATATGTACGTATATATATATATATATATATATATATTGTATACACATATATGAGATACACATGTATACACATATATTTGAATATTCAAATTTTACAAATAGTCCAATTTAAACGCTTGTTATTAGTTTTCTCTATTTTCCGACCTGAGAAACCTGAGGTAAGTCATTTGGTTTCGCAAAATTATGCTTCTCGTATACAATTATTGCTCGTTTCACTCACGCGAGCCAGACTCTTTTACAGATCATCGGTTATTCGAAAGATCGAAATCGAACAAACTTGATGCAAAATATTCTTCAATATCGTTACGATCTCATCCACCGAGTTGGAAATTTCTACTTTTATTTTTTTTTTTTTCTTTTCGTTCAGCTTTTTCCCTATTCATATACTATAATTAAAAAAAAGTTGAGCAACCACAACACAATCGATTATTTATTGTCGCTCGATATCTATATCACGCTAACATAACTCTTGCTTGTTATTAATATACTCACAGAAAAATAGATATAGAATATACACAAATAGCTACAGATAATTGACAAGGTCTTTACTTTTCTCACTTTCTATCTTCTTTTTCTTTCTTGTCGTTTCATTCGCCACGCAGAAATACCACTTACAAATGACACGAGTGCTTTCAGATTGTCTTGTTATTGATCCTTTATTACGATTTAAGATCGAGTAAGGAAGTACTACATACCAACGTAGATCCAATGAGAATCGCTAAGGGTTGTGAAGAAGGTAAAATAAATGTAGGTACTATTGTACATCATCATGATGGAGTGGTTGGTCGATGGTTCTTTATCGATTTTCTTGCCGATCGAAAGACCACACTCCATCGGTCTTCTCTTGACTTTTATCATTATTCGAAGTACGCTTGCCAACTGCCGAGAAACGAATGGTATCGTCTTTGACGTCCAAGAAAAGAAATTTTCTATTTTCTTTCTTTTTTTTTAGAAGAAGAAAATATTTTACACCTTTAAAATCATAGTTACGTAAATGTAACAATGTCACGGACATGTAATCTCAAATGATGCATATGTATTTAAATATTTATTGTATATATGCACATATCTATGTATGTATGTATGTATGTATGTATGCACATAAATGCATGCACTTACGTATCTATATATTTCAGTTTAACTATTAAAAGGAATAAAAAAAATTACGTTAATGCTATCATGAATGTAATTCGATTGATATTATTGCTTATACTTAATATTATCATGATTAATGAAAGAAACGTTTTATAACTCCGGAACAAATAATTTCCATATTAAATGTTTATTAAAACTTTTCCTTTTTTTTTTTATTGTTCTGATGAGTACTACAGAGATTTAAAGTTTGCCGATAACTTTTTCTAATACTCTCTATAATTTAATTTCTTTTTGAAATTTGTTGGAAACTATATTATAATTTATTTGAAAAGATAATTTTTTTTGGATCTTCATGTTAATATCTACAATTTATTTTCATGTTGTACTCAAAATGAGGCCACTTATTTCTTTGTCATTTTATATGTATAAATATGGCACGATTGTTTTAATAAAACATCCAAAATGAAAAGAACAAAGAGAAATACTATCGATATTTACATGGCCGAGAATTTTATCAGTGCGTTAAATCGATGCGTGTTCTGTAAAGCGATGATAAGGGCGTAGCCGATAAAATATTATAGATTGATATCAATTTTATTCGAAACTCGTCGTTATCGTACCAATATGCAATAGACCGGTTCGAAGATTTCCGTGACATTTTGGCAAAAAATGAACTTTCTCATAAGGATATCTAATAAACTTGTATTATTTCTTAAATATCGAAGGATCTTAAAAATGAAAAAAATTAATAATTTTATTCGTTATGTCCTGCGACAATTTTGTTTAATATTCTCTTTCTGTTTTTTTTGTTTTCTTTTTTTACAACAAAAAGCATTCTTTTTTGTTAAGAAACAATAATTTCAAGTAAAATTACTTTTTACTTAATGTACGTATTACGAAACGTTTAATAAAACAAGAAAATCTTCGAAGTTCTTTAATATTGACAAGTAATATCTTTTGAGTCCCAAATAGTAACACATTCAAAGGCAAATTAGAATGTTTTTCTATTCTACATAATTATGTAAAAATCTCTTTCTATTACGTTCTAGATCAGAATTTATTACTGTTTAAAGCTACCAATATTACATCGCGTTTTACGTATATGTCTTCCCGTCCATTATCGGAATTTTGCGAAATACTAAGAAATATGAGATGATCGTACTAAGATGAAGATAAGGCTTCGTCTAGGTCCTTT